ATTATAAAAAATATTGAGTAAATATAAAAATTATAAAAAAAATATTTACAGATTAAAAAAATTAACATACCGAATGCAAATAAAAGATTTGGCCAATACAATTTTAAGGGAAAAGCTATCTGACGAATTACTGGTGCACCAAGACTTGCAGTGCTTGGAGAGTTACAGGTAGAAGAGAGATGGAGGAATGAAAAAGTTTATCGTATGAGTGGGTTTTGACTCTTCTTTAATTAGTGTTATATTGTTAGGAAGTTGATTAGTTCAATCTATTAATCGTGATTAAAATCAAATACTCCGTACCAATTGAGCTTCATATTTCTTATTCTTCCCCTGTTTCTTTCAGTGATTTACTCGGTCTCTCACCCATATCTCAAGAATTTGAGATTCTAAAAATGGGATGATGGTTTTATACTTTTAGGTCCTTTTTAAAGTCTGGAATTAGAGTTCATTTAAAATGCGCAGATTAAATTAACGATGAGATGAGAAATCCTAAAAATCAATGTAAAAAAAGTCATACACTTCTCAATAAGCCAAAAAAACCGGGATCAAGAATGAAAAACATAAGAGAGGGATTCGAAGGGAGCAACGTCATAACTCATAAGCAAAGAGAGAGTGGACTTAAGGAGATCAGCTGCAAAAGATAGGGAAGAGTGGAAGGTCAGAGATGTATGATCTGGACAGAAAGAAGGAAAGTAGGTTAAGACAAGAAAAAAAAAAAAAAAGGTTGGAATCATAGAAGCGCAGTGCTAGGGGCAACCCCCACCTGCACTTGCCACCTGTCACTTGCCCATCCATTTGGTCACGTCACCTTAATTTTAATGTGACGGAAGAGTAACCGGTTGGACTTTGGGAAGCGCAAACTCCCTCTTTTTTTTTTTTCTCTATCAAGTTAAATTAATTTAATATTTTGGCAAAACCACGAGTTAAGCCCCTGAACCAACCCCAGAATCGCTATTAAGCCCCTAGACTGTAATTGATGCATATAAGCCCTTGAACTCGGGTATCAAAGCAATTAAGCCCTTCTTCTTACGCCAACTTAAGGACACACCCCGCTTGGCTGCTTGGATGGCAAAATATTACCATGTCATGCTTACATGGCAAGGGATTTAACATTTGACCTGAATTTTTAATTTATTTGATAATTTAATTTTTTTATTTAATAAAATATAAATAAAATAAAATCATAAATTTGGGTGAAAATATT